TACAACTTTTGACATAGTCAGGACAATTGTGAGTTTTCTTTTTATCATGCTGCTCAGATTTACATTACAAAAGGTATCTGTATTGGATTAAACCTATTTTATGTATCTACCTGGGCTTTGTTTCTGAAAGATTAGAAGAAACCCTTCTTTTAAAATTGTTCTCATACTTAATTCTTATTCTTTTGTTTTCATTAATTACCTGCACAGTGTGACATTATTTCAAGTAACTCCTGTCAAAATGTTTGCTCTAAAAGCATTGAAAGAGTGAAAAACATTTCTGAATAGTGTTTTTCCTATGTACTAACAATTTAAAAACTAGGACATTTTGCTCATACTTAATCAATTGGTTTGGATTTTTTTCCCCTATACATATATAGCCAACTCTTTGTCTTTCTCGGAGTTCACTGAACTATATTTAGAATCACAGAATGGTTTGGATTGGAAGGGACCTTAAAGATCATCTATTTCCAGCCCCTTGCTAAGGTCAGGGACTCTTCCCACTAGTCCAGGTTCCCCAAAGCTCCATCCAGCCTGGCCCTGACCATTTTCAGGATTGGGACATTATATTTCTCAGAGTATTTTACATATTGGGAGGATTACCAATTTTGGTTTTAATCTCCTCTTTCTAGGTTAGTAAAGGTGCTTCATTGCAGATCGTGCTTTACAAACCATAATCATTCAGGTTAGGACTTTCCATGCCCAACCATGGAAGGTACAGCCATCCATGGACAATTGATACAACCCTAGAGAAGTACAGCAGAGCTGCAGCAGATAACAAGTCCCTCCTTAGCTGCTGGGACATAGTCACAAAGGTTCTTATGTAAATCTGTTCTTCATGAGATGCTTGAGATACCAGTAGGAAATTGCATGCCATTTAAAGTACCTGTATCCTAATTCTGTCCTGATTTTCTCACATGTATTATTTTCTAAGATTTTTATTATGAACCTTGATGCTACTAGATCAACCAATATGTTCGTTGCCTGCCATTTTCCAGTTGGACTCTCATCAATATGTGAATTGTATAGGATGTGGAGTTGTTTCAACTTTTGCAGAGGAAGGAGAGGGAAGGAAACAAAGTTTATTAGGCTTCACTTGAACAGTTATGCCTTTTTCCACCTAAAACCACTTTAAATTTTTTCCTTATCCTCTAGATGGTTGCTTCCCTAATATCCTCATTTTTCCTTAAGCTCCAGTGATTGATCCATCATTGATTTGAGCAGAGAAATTATGGATTCTCCATCCATGAGAGTGTTCAACGCCAGGCTGGATGGGGCCCTGAGCCACCTGATCTAGTGCAAGGTGTCCCTTTCTGTGGCCAAGGGATTTGGAACCAGATGATCTTCAGGGTTCCTCCCAACCCAAACCATTCTGTGACTCTATGAATTGAATGAAGAGAGGTATTGAGATATTAAGGAAAATCTTAAGGTTGAGAAAAATTTGAGCTATTCTGCCTAGTTATACCACATATGTCATATGTGAATTAGCAGGCAGTGATTGTGCTCTCACTGAGACTGTGAAGCCTAAAGATACTGCAAGGATATCCTGCAAGGGCAATGCACAAATGCACACAATAGCATAAAACATCCCTAATTTCTCTTTAATAGTCTTCCTTTTATTTTTTTTATTAAAATATTGTTTATTATCCCAAAGAAACATGAGAAATTTGTATTGCTTGCTTTACAAAATATTTTTTGTATAGAATATTTGGATAACAAAATGGCAGCCCAAGGAGATTAGAGTGTAGAATTATCAGATGCTGCTTCTTAAATGATAAAAACTGTGGAAGAATCAGTACCTTCTTTGCTTTTTTTAATATAAATTAATTAAAAATACTTGCATACTTATGTCTACTGTGTTGGCCTGAAATAATTTCAGCTTATTTTAAGTTGTCTTAATGGTTTAATGTTCATTAGAAATCCATCAAGAAAGCAATCTACTGGCCATAAATCAAAGGATTCCAAATATTAATGAAGCATTGGGGAGTTTGAAATATAAAAATTAGGAACATGAGGGTAAAAATAGAGGGTTTGGGCAAAAACTAAGAAACAGGTTATGCCAGCAATATAAATATAGGAAGAAAACTAATTTTTTTCACTTGTAGCATGCCTACAAAATGAACCTTATTATTATTGTAAGTCTGTCTGTAAAATCACATTTCAACAATTTCAAAGTGTTTCAGGCTGAAACTTATCAGCTAACTTTTTGATTTTACTTGAAATTAAAAAAAGCTAAAATTATGCAAAAAGAAAATACGTACCTTGAAAATGAGGAAGATTCTGAAATGGTGTTTTTGCTAACAGAAACCTTAGTCCCCAAAACATTTTGGTAAAAGCTTTTATAATGTTTTTTTTTTTTTTTTTCATTTGTGATGGTTATAAACATAGAATCTGAAATACTATTTTTCTCTATTTTCTGTGAATTCTTTTAAGATATGCACATATATTTTGTAGCTCTTCAGTTTATTGATTATAAATATCTATACTTTAAAAAATTCTGTACATAATATTCGCAGTGCAGAAAAAAAAGCACATGTTTTTAGTTCCTTCTTCTTTTGAGCTCTGATTGTATGCTGGCTTTATTTATCAGACAGGTTATTGCCTTTATCCCCCCAGAAACTTTGGATGTTATTGTTGCAACAAAATCATCTGAAAAAAAGTTCTTGAAAATAATTAAATTCTTAAAGTTTTTTTAGAAATTGATGACTGAGTTAAATAAATACATCCTGTCAGCATGAAAACATTCCTTACTAGATGCCAAAAATGCCATATAAGAGGTGTGGGAAAAGAGAGGGGATCAAAAGATGAAACAAAGGAGGAGTTGTGTCCAGAGTCCTTATTAATGGCTCAAGTCAGAGCTCATGCCTTAACACGCCAATGTAAATCAATGATGGGACACAAATGAGTAAAAAACCAGGCTTCATTAGTTCTGATGTTGATGGAACTACTTATTGGGATTATTAGAATATTTTGAAATTAGTGTCAGCTTTCCAAATTTATTATTTTCAATTTAATAGATATCTTTATTGATTGACAGATTTTTTATTTAATTGTATCTGTAATAATGGGGAGAGATCTTACCTGTTTTGGAAGTATTAACTGATAAGCTAAAAGAGGAAACTCAGGCTTGTAAGAATTTGTAGAGACAAATAGAGAGAACAGGATTGAGAGGTGAGTTGTCAGAAAGCAGATTTGAGAAGCACTGAGACCATGTTGTACACTAAAACTTTACAGAGATCATAGAAAAACTGGGGACATTCACAAGAGAAATCCTTAGAGTATTTTCTATGTCATATATAATGGTATTGCTGTGAGTGTGTCCTGATCCTTGTCCTTCCACATGTTTGGGAATTGAGGAAGTGCATGTGAAAGTTCAGATTCAAGTCCCAGAGAATGAAAAATTCTGAAAAGTTCCCAGTAATGAGGAATTCCAGGAGCTCTATATATGTCTTCAAAGGATGATCTGAAACCATCCTTTGAGAAGGAAATATCTCTTCAGATAGTCTGTGCCATTTAATCTAGTCACAGGAAATAATGAGTGTAGGCTAAATGTAGTATATTCAGTTCAGAATAAATGCTTTCTACATCTTGCTTTAGTGTAAAAACAGGATTTTGCTTCTAATACAATCCCAGATTTCTGTTTATTACTTTCTTATGACAAAGTAAGTTAACTCTTACATGGACTTTCTGGAATACTGTTTTATTGCACCCCTCCATTTTCTCGATTTTACTTTAAAAACCACCAACCTGGCATCTAACATATTTGATCTTTAGGAAGAAACCAATTGCTAATCTCTCCTAAAAGGTAAAAGTTATGTCCATTTGTTCTATGTGTTACTGAGTGCAAGGACAAAGAAAGAGAGTTTTTTGTAGATCTGTTTATTTGAAAGTCTCCTTTTATCTTTTCTGGAGTTATTTACTGAATAAGAAATTTGTTTTAAACAAAGGTTGTAAATAAATATGGTTGAGGAGTTGCCATTCAATGCTCTGAGAGAGGCAGAATATTTGGTTCTGCTCAGTAACCTTTAAATTTTTGGTCTTCCACTAATTACTTCCTTTGTGTTACCTTTCCTTCAAATTATGTTAGATATCTTGAATAAAAGGAGATGAGGAAAAGCAGTGCATTTCCCCTGATATTAACTCAATTTCCATGAAGACTGAATACATCTTACAGGTATTATTTGACCAGGAAATATCAGCTATTCATGCCATGTAGAGCTGCTAAATGCATGAAATATTTGGAAAATATTCTAATTAATTATTTAATTAAAATTAATAATAAATAAATTCATTTCAAAAATTAAACACTTAGTATTGCTTCCCAAATGGGGCAGAGTTCCTGAGTAAGCTGCAGAAGCTGTGATAAAAGTTTCAGCACCTGTACATGAAGTGGATCGTGGAACACATCGCACCAAAGAACTTCTTTCAGCTGCAGTCCACTTGGTTTTCTGCCTGGAATATTTATGTTTTTCTTGCATCCTGAAGTGCTTTGACTTCCAGAGTCATGGGTAGCCATGTATTCATGAAAAAAATTTTGCTCCACATGAAAGGTATTGGCAGTCAGAATGGAACAATTATTGTTTGGTTCCTTTCATTTTTTTCCAGCTTCAGCACACATCTGCTTACTCTGCACTGTTGAGACAAATTACTGTCTTGGCTTTACTGTTTTGAAATTTAAGTCTTTTTATAACCATAGACATTTTGGAAGGAATCTGTGAAGCTGTTTAGCTTTGCCTTCACCAAAAGAAGATTGACTATTTATATATATTGTGAGAAACAAACAGAAGACATTTTTAGGCTTTTCCATGCTTAATCTTTCAAAACTTCCCTAGGAAAAGGGAGTAGTTAATTGCCCAGTGACCTCTTATCAGTATTTTAGGGTATATGTTATGTTCTTCAAGTAATGTTTTTCAGGTAGAAAACTCTTTTTCCTGCATAGTTGTTATTATGACCTGCCTCTGATTAGAGTGAAATAACACTGAATAAGAAAATATTGCAGGGAAGCACCAGTGGTGTAGTGGTATCATGCAAGGTTCCCATTCTTGTGACCTGGGTTCAATTCCCAGCTGGTGCATGAAAATTCCCAACTCCCAGCCTGTGCAGTGCTCATACCACAGGTTTGGAGTAAGTCTGGAGAGTTTGTTTTGGCAATATATTTTGTCTTTTATTTTGTGTGTTTTGTTGCTTGAATTTTGGGCAGGGCAACTGAGTTGCTGTGGGCTCTTTCTGTACAATGCAACGGTTTAGAGTGGTATTTTTGATTGCTTCTGTTAAAGAGTTCACTTCTACTTAAAGTTTGCTTTTATGCAAATAAATTGTTTTATGTGAACTAAGAATTCTGGAAATTATAACTTACTTGTAATTTGAACTTATCAACCATATAACTAACATACCTCTGCACTGGTATGAAATATTCTATACACAGCCATTCATCATAAAAGAGATGAACTGAGAGTCTTTGACCAATTTAACACTTTCAGATATAAGGGCTGTCCTTGACACTTTCTTCTCATCCAAAATTGATAGTTTTATATTATATTTGGGAAGAGGGGCCAAAAAAAAGCTGTTTAGTATTCAAATATCATCTCATCTCACAAGAGCCGTCCATTCCAATGAGTAGGAAGTCAGGCAAAAATGCCAGGAGGCTTGCATGGATGAACAAGGAGCTCCAGGCAAAACTCAGATGCAAAAAGGAAGAATATAGTAGGTGGAATATAGAAAGTGGAATCAGGGGCAGGCAACCTAGAAGAAATACAGCACCATTGTATGAGCATGCAGAGATGCAGTTGGAAAAGCTGAAGCCAAAATGGAATTTAATCAGACAAGAGATATTAAAGACAACAAGAAGGACTTCTGTAAGTGCAGACATCACAAAAGGAGGACTGCAGAAAATGTGAGCCCATTGCTGCTTGGGGCAGGGAACCTGATGGCACAGGAAAATGCTGCAGTGCTGAATTCCTTCTTTTCTCCAGTCTGTTCTGCAAGAGCCAGACTTCAGGAATACTGGGTCCCAGAGACCAAGGGGAAAGGCTGGAGAAAGGAATGCATACCCTTTGTGGGTAGATCAGGCAGTACTTATTCAAACTGGAGATTCATAATTCCATGGGCCTTGATGGGATGTTCCCAGGAGTGCTGAGGAAGATTATGACTGGGAGAAGCGCTTCTGGACTGGAGGAAGGAAAATGTCACCCCTGTGTTCAAGAAAGGCAAGAATGAGAAATCAGGGATCTACAGGGTAGTCAGCCTTGCTTTAATCCCCAGAAAATGATGGAGCAGCTAATCCTGCAAAACATTTTCCAGGCATGTTTCACAAAGGCAAGAAAGTAATCATGAGTAGCGTGCATGGATTCACCAAAGAAATGTCTTGCTGGACCAGTTATCAAAGAGAATTGACTGCCCTGGTAGGCAGGGGAGAGCAGCGGATTTTGTCTGCCTGGACTTACACTGTCTTCCATTAAGATCCTCATAGATAATCTATTGATCCAAGGGCTAGGTGAGCAGACAGTGAGGTGAACTGAAAATTAGCTGAATGGTCAAGCCCACAGGGTGGTGCTCAGTGGCACAAGGTCAGTTTGGGGGGCCACTGCTGTATGCTGAAATATTTATACAAATCGATGCTCCACTGTACAATCAGGGGAATTTTACGGTTTAATAAACAGAGGCTTTATCTGAATCACCTCTAAAATCCTAATTTCTAAGACTAATAACTAATGGTCTGTTTATTTGCTGTCTTACATCCTTTATTAAAATGTATTTAACAAATACCACTTAGGAGTCCAAGTAGACTCTATCACCCATATATCCCTTCTCACATTCTAATTGAATCCTTCAGAAAATGGATGAATTTTGAGGCACTGCTACCTGGTCATGCTGATCCCTCCCCTGTGCATCAAGTTTTCCATTTGGAAGCAAATTCATTTTTTTTTTAATAGCAATTGAATAATTAATGAGTTATTCGATAATAATTCAATAATATGAGATTGTTTCTTAGGACTTTACAGATTTTATCTGTTTTGGAATTTGGGTTCTTTTTTCCCTGTATCATGCTTGGTTTTCTGAGTGTTCATGATAAGTGTCTCTAAGTCCTTGCTATCATCTGTTTACCTTACTTTGTCTCTAGCAGACTTCCTGTGTTTGAAAAAGTACTTGGTTTATGTCTCTTGCAGGTTTTCCAAATACTCTTGCTCACCTTTCCTGATTGCTTTTTTATATTTAAATAAGCAAAGATCAGGGTGTTTTCTGTTTTCCTCTTTTAGACATATTTTCAACCGTTTGTCTTGCTATTTAAAGTTCCCCTTCTGTTAGCGACACTGGGTTTTTTTTGATATTTCCAAAAAGTCTGTCAATGCTTAGCTCTCATGTTCTTTAAGCCTCCAGTATTGTATCTGTAAGTAATCTCTCTTTGACTTGCAAGAATTTTATTTTTAGATGTTGGACCATAAGTTTTTAATAAACTTTAATGGTATTTAATTAATTAAGCAATATTTGTGATAAAACCTCTTTTTTTTTTTAATTTTATTGTGACTACAGTGTTACTTTTTGGATTTTGTCGTTCTTTAAGCTGTCTTTGCAAGTGTAGTGTGTTGACCCTGGCTGCATGCCAGGTGCCCACCAAGCTTCTCACTTCCCTTCTCAGTTGGACAGGGGAGAGAAAATATAGCAATGGGTTCATGAGTTGAGATAAGGACTGGGAGAGATCCCTCACTGAACACCATCACAGGCAAAACAGACTGAACAAGGAGATATCAGTTAAATTTATTTACGACATAATCCCTAACAGGACATGGAGAAGTAAAATAAATCTTAAAAACACCTTCTTCCCATCCCTTCCTTCTTAATGGGCATATGATTGACTTACAATTTTCTTTACCTCCTTCCCCAGAGTGGCACAGGGGAATGGGGAATTGGTGGTCAGTTCATCACACATTGTCTCTGATGCTACTTCCTCCTCAGTGGCAGGACTCCTCACATTCTTCCCCTGTTCCAGTGTAGACAGTGTTCCACAGGAGACAATGAGTCAGTTGTCCATGAAATCATCCTGCATGAATCTTTACCATGGCTTTCAGCTCCTCACAAAGTGTTCCAGCATGGGTCCTTTCCACAGGGTGCAGTCCTTCAGGAGCAGACTGCTCCAGGATGGGTTCTTCACAGAATTAGAGTCCTGCCAGCAAACCTGGCCTGTTGTGGGCTCCTTTCTCCACAGTTCCATGGGTCCTTCATGCACTCTGTTCCAGTGCAGGGTTCCCACAGGTTCACAGCCTCCTCTCAGGCATCCACCTGCTCCAACATGGGGTTCTCCACAGGCTGTGGATGTATATCTGCTCCAACATGAACCTCCATGGGCTGTAGGGAAATTTGTGCTCCATCACCTTGAGTACCTTCTCCTCCTCCTTCTTCATTGACCTTGATGTTTACTGAGCTGTTGTTCTCCTACATTCTCAGTTCATTCTGTGATTCTGCAGCCCCATTGTTGCCAGAAGCTTACCATGCAAACCCAGCACACATGGAAAAATCAGCAGCTGCTGAACTGACTGTGTTATCAGTGATGACTGCCCAGTAACAAGCTGTGGGCAGACAATAATTTCCAGCTGCTATTTTTATGCATTTCCTAAGAGGAAGATGAGGAGGATGCAATGACAGTGGCTGTTCAGACCTTAAGCCAACACTGGCTGCATACACAACCCTTGCACAAAGTAAAAGCATGGCCTTTTTCTTATATAAAATTTGATAAACCAGATAAACAGTAAAATTAAATACATTCTTCTCATCCAAACTCTCTCTAATGGCTGGAAAAGATCTCTTCTGATGCATTGTTAGCACACCAGTGTGTAAGAAAGACATCCTGAGAGACTTCTCACAGTTGGTATGTGGGTGCCATTGAGATTCGTCAGCTCTTTCTTCCTATAAAGGAGACCTATAATTCCTCTGGAAGAAATATATTTACTATTAATTCTCCCACACTTAACATTATGTAATAAAGGATTTTTTGGCTCCATCATTCCTTCCTGCTCATCCTGAAATGAACACAGCCATGCTGTGAGTGTTCTGATGGATTCCAACAATCTTATGGGATCAGAAGAGCAAGACACAACTGGAAGGAGGCATTTCAGTCTTTTACTACAAGTCCTTGAGTTAGAACCCCATTTGGATCCTTTTGCAATGGTCTCAGATAGGAGAGATTTACTCTGAGAGCTGTCAAATGCTATTTTGCATTAGAAAAGAATGTTGGATTTACTGTGATGACCAGAAGTCCTTCTAAGATTTTTTTTCTCCCCATTTTTGGAGAGAAGCCTGAACCTTTTTTATTTTCTTCTGAACTGTGACAATCTCCATTTGCTTTTGTTATAAAACGTGTTCCCTTCCATTCTGTGACTTTGAACTGTGCAAGAACTCAGACTAGAACCTGATATCTACATGTCCCATTTATAGAAAGATAAACCTAAGAGAGATCCTGAAATTCCTGCTTGTCCAAGACATTAGCAGAAAGTGTCAAATGTTCTTCTTCTAAGCCGTGTGATGCAGAAAGTCTCCATCACACGTATTTGTGATTGATGCACAACTTCCCTCTGATTCTCAGGCTTTGCTTTAGAGAAGGCTGAAAGGAACAATTCTAAGCCTGACTGACACAACATGATAGGTTTGATTCCAAATATCTTCCTCCCTTTTTTGTTCAATATTCATTCTTTTGGATTACTCATTGAAACTAAAAGGCTCCTTTGTCTTCACTGGATTATTGAGCTAGATCCTTAAGTGGCATTTTCAGCCCATTGTTTTTCCTTTTATAGACAAAAGCAAGAGAACACTTTCCTAATCAGAATTAAATTTTGTTCTCAAGATATTTTTTTTAATTGTAGTTCATTTTTTGTCATGATAAAGGCTCCTTGAGATGCATGTTGTACTTCTTTTAGGGTGGTTTTTAAGATCTGTTTCAACTAAGCCTTTTCTCCTATTTTTCTTCCAAAGTCTTATTTCTCTGTGTTAGACAACATTCATATCCTTGCTGTCAAGAGGCTTTTTTTTCCTATTAGAACTAAATTTAATAATGATGTCAAAGGCTGTGGAAAGTATAAAAGC